ACACACACACACACACACACACACACACACACACACACACACACACACACACACACACACAAGCTGGTAAAAAAAAGGGACTGCAACACAAATGAGGTTTGTAGCACAGATTCAGCACATCCTCACTGTACCTGCAGAATAATGCTTTGGGGACAGTTCAGGATCTTGAGATTGAAAATCTGACCGAAGTGCACCCTGAAGTCAGCGTTCAGGGAGCGGCTGCCTGTTCTGGAAACTTCCTTGTCGTTGTACAGGATCTTGATGRACAGTGAACGTCTGGACACGTCTTCTCTTCGAGCCATTTCAGCCCTGAAACAACATGATAAACAACCAAAAAGTGAAAAAGGCCAGTCTTCTCCCTGACAGCGAGAGGAGAAACAGATTTTGTTGATGTATTAGCTGTACGTATGTTTAAAGCTCTACCTGGGGCACAGCTCAGTGTCAGTGATGCTTCCTGATGCAGACAGCTCTGGGATCAGGATGGCTTCTCCTGCTTTCCTGCGGATCCTCGAGGCTTTTTCTCTCACCTGCTGCTCTAGAAAACCAAGGTCTGGCCTCTCAGGGGGCTCTGGCTTCTGAGGACCTTCCTCAAAGGGCTCCTCCGATTCACTTCCTTTTAGGTCCTGATCTTCTTCTTCTTCTTCTTCTGTGTCACCCTGTGCCTGACTCTTTTTCTTCTTTTTCTTCTTCTTTTTCCTCGTGGCTTTCTGAAGACATGGAACACGTTGGATAAAAATGTGTTTGAATATTTCAACCCCAATTCCAAAGAAGTTGGGACATAATAAAAAACAGATTATGATGATTTGCAAACCCCTTTCATCCTATATTCAACTGAATCCACTACAAAGACACGATATTTAATGTTCAAACAAATAAACGTTTTGGGTTTTTGCATATATTCACTCATTTTTTATTTGATGCCTGCAACACGTTCCGAAAAAGCTGGAACAGGGGCAGGTTTACCTCTGAGCTACTTGAATTAASTGTTCTTTTCTTTTCTTTTTTCTTTTTTTTTTTTGCTAATGTTTTAGGAGAAATAAAGGCGAGAACGACCAACAAATTCAGACGATTGGAACTAGCCATTGAGAAGTCCCAGTGGAGACTTTGAATGTCGATCTGAACCAAAACAGTTGGGATTATCTGAATGTGGCTCCCACATGTCGGCCTTGAAGGCTGGATCTCTCAGACTCTCCTGGATGTTATGGAAACAGATGCTCTGCTCACTCACATCTGTGAACTGGTCCGAGAGCACTCAAGCTGACCTGATGAACACTGCATTATTTCAGAAACTATGGCTCATGGGGCTGTCAGGACTGGTTTCACACAAGGTTATAATAGTGTTGGATTTTTCATTATAGTTTAGTTTTATTTCGCTGTGACTTTTTTTCTTTGAATTCAGTTTATTTTAATTAGTTTTTACAGTGAATTTGCTAGTTTTTGTTAGTTATTGTTGCATTCTTAAAGGGGCAATATTATGTGTTTCTCAGGCATATATTTAAATACTATACCATAATAAAGTGTATATA